ACCGGAAATCAAAGAATATGCGAACTTTGTCCAACACAAAAAGGTGTTGTTGTCCACCGAAATGATTTAGATTGAAAATTAGACATTTAGAGAAGAAGAGAAAATAAGGAACTAATTAAAATATCATCTCCTGTTTTGCAAACCGCGGAATTAAATAAGCTTATCGGGAAGTCTAATTGCGGCGTATTTAACTATCAATTCAAGCGTTTGCTTTCGAGATGTATTTATTTCATACGAAAAAAAAGTATCAGCGTTTTTAAGTACGATTTATTTGTAAATTGAATAGGTGGTTATGTTTCGCTCAATGCGTTCTCCTTAATTAGGAATGTATTTCATTTGCGTACATCTGCATTCTTCTTAAACAGATGCACGGATGCAGCTTCGCATTGAAAACAGTACTTGGGGGGCGTGCAATGAATGAAAATCAAATTTATAAAGTTTACCCGTTGAAACTGAAAACAGAAAGAACGGGGTTTCGAGAGTGCGGAGGAAAATGAAAAACAAAATAAAGAAAAAATGAAGGAGATATAAAGGGAGCCAATTGCATTGGATGACACGGTCCAGAAGAAAATTCATTCCGACATTGCGGGAAATTAATTTTCTTGCATTTCCATAAGTCGGACGCAAATAGATGAGAACCGGAAGCGGATATAAAAGTAAAAGCGTAACTTTTATACTGCGAATAAAAAATAATTGATAGGCTTTTCATAATTTTTGCGCTACTATTTCATCGCTTTTCGTATGCGTATTTTTTTTTAATTTTCTGTCATTGCATCAGTCACTGTAAACAGATCCACGTTGAAAGAAGTTTCGCAACGAGTCGATGGATAAAATAGAGGGACGTGTTATATAATTAATGGCATCGATCCGATTCCGGCGGGTAAAACACACGGATTCATCTCGGATTCGGTGATTTCGGATCTGGCGAATTCCTGTCGTCCTCGTGATGGACTAGTGATTGACTCTCTACGAGATTGAAAAAAAAAATATGCATGGAATTCAGTGATTTTTTTTTACCGGATAATTGAACATGAAACATCTGTTGGTTGGTTGGTTTCGTTTTCTGTAATCTATAGAAAATTCAAAATATATTCAATTTAAAAATAATATTGATTACAAAACTTTGAATTTTTGTAATATTATAAATATTACAAAAATTAAACGAAAATTGTAAAAAAAATATTTAGTAACTTTCATAATAATTCCATTCAAGTACTAAAAAAATAATTTTATTTTGTATAATATTTAAATGATCGAAAAAAATGGTATTTATTTCAAATATTTACAAAATTTTAAAAAATATCTATTTTTTTACTTTTCAAAGATTTTAATAGTAGTTAGTTTTTTGTTTATAATTTGGAAAAAATCAATGAACTTTATTAATTATTTATTTATAAAATATTATTCTTTTATTCCATCAATTTATTAATTTTTTTTTCCCTACACAATCAAAGAATATGCGATAATTGTCCAACGTGTGGACAAAACAAAAGGAAATGTTTATCTGCATATTTCAACTGTCATCCGATATGCATTTAGATTGAAAAGTAGACATTTTATAAGAAACATATTTATTTGAATATTTATCATCTACTTTCAAATTAGTATAGAAACTTACAAATGATTTTATTAAATTATTTACATTTTTATATTATATCATAAATCTGTACTTCTTTTTTAATAAACTTATATAATTAGTACTATGAAACAGATTTGTTAGTATGTTTGTATATTTTATAAAAGTGTAATATCTCATACTTCTTATTCGACATACTAGAAGTAGAATATACTATATTACTGTACTACATATAATATAGTAGGTTATTACTATATATTCTAGTATACTCTGAATTATAAAGGGGTTAGTATTCAAGGATCCAAGTATTATGAATGAAGTGTGAAGCTTACATTGTTCGCTTTACAGGTCATTTCGGGCACGAGCGTGAGTCGTAATAAGTTTTCAATTGGTTATATAATTATGCAGACGACATTATTGAATTAATGCGGCCATGATTGGTGGATGCGGTTGTCTTCATTAAACATGCAGATTTGTAATGCACCGCCAATACCCTAATTATTGCGACTGTAATTGCTGGATGCGTTGTTATCTTAATTAGGCTGTTCGGTGTATGGGCAAGATACGGTCTCACCATTCCAGCATGTGGGAGGATGGTGCAGAGGTCGACGAAACACGAGAAAAGAGAGAAATAAATAGAAAGAAATATTAAAACGTTGTTGCATTCAATTTAGACTTGTGTCATTGAATCTACGTGGCACTTTACGTCGCTCCCTATATTTTTCGTTATTCCTTGTTGTTTTTTTTCCTGTTCCACGTGTGTTTGCTCCACCTTTATATAACAATTGCGTTTAGTTTCTTTGGATATACGCAAATCCTTTTATATTGGATGTGTGGATGTACCATCTGCCGGAGGATTTAGGGAATACATAATGCAAACTCCGCTAAGTCATACCAGGATGGAAGTGTGAAGATCTCGGATTGTAGAGTCTGGGGTTGAATGCATAACAAATAACTAAGTGGATACAGTGGCTGTATTGATGCTGACTGCCACTCAAGATGCGGTCTGATTTACATCTGCCCGACAGCCGCCCACACCTCCACCGGCAGCGCCGCCCCGTGTCACACCGAGATCAATTCCGCAATTAAGTTTGCGAAATCGTTCTTGATAAGAGGCGGAGATACGGCGAAATGAATGTAGGGATCGGACCGGCGGGGGTCGTATCTGCCTCCTTCTACTCCACCTCCTCCTCATTCTCCGTCGCCTTCGGGGGTTGCGTTCGAGGGGTGGACGGGTTTGCCTTGCCAGTAAGCTCGCGTTTTCAGTTTCGTATGCACATGTAGTAGAATATAAGGCGGTGTGACGGCTCGCATATAGCATTTTAAAAACGGCCTCCAGTGACACATACATCATGAGCCCTACACACCCGGCCAGACAGACTCCCTGTCCATTGGCCCTTCTGAATATCCCTTGATAAATTATATCACGAATTCTATATCATTTTTTTACGTGAATTTATTTAAATAATATTTACTTCATTCCGCAGGATTCCTTTTTTTTGTTTTCTCTCTATCTCTCACCCTCATTGTTACACGCTTACACATTTATCACCCGCCCAACGACCCACAGGCAAACAACCAACTTTACTTTTTTTTTCTCCATCTCTCTCCGCACTCCGACGAAATCAGAAAAACATATCTAATGTAATGTTTTGAATTTACTGCATTCGCAACTCTGACAGCAAACAAAACCACTTTCAGATTTCAAATTTTTATACAATTTTCATAACCATAAAATAACCTTTGGTGACTTCTTTAATTCTAACACATCTATTATAATTTATGAAACACATAAAATTAATTAAATGTTTGTGACTTCAGTATTTCTTTAATATTGTAGAAATTTTATTATGAAAATTTTTCAATTATTTTCAAACTCATTTTTAATAAGATTTTCATAAAAAATAAATAATTTCGATTGTCTTGTATAAAAACATAAACAATCTCAGAAAAGTGTATGTTTATGGTTGATAATTTGTTTTAAAAAATAAATAAATATGAAAAGTTGCATTTTCTGAAATTCTATGCCGGTTTCAGGAACCAAATATTTGCGAATTAATAATGCATAGCAGAAACTCGTAAATTTCCTACTCTCTCTCTCTCGTTTCTGTTTGTTGATCTTCAACAAAGTTTGTTTTTGTCCAATATACTGTGCAAATTAAAAACAAATGTCATTGGAATTGTTACATTCATTAAATATAAAAATCAAAAATTTAAAGGTAAGTACATACTAATAATGGAAAAAAATCATGTAAACAATTGTGTTTTAATCAAGAATTTGTTAGCAAATAATTGTTTACGATCTGTATATTATTTGTAATTTAGATACAGTTTTTGTATTTTCATGAACCTTGAACCATTCAATGTTTTGAGTCTAAATATACAGAAAATAATTAACTAATTATAAGTTGTCCTCAAAATAATAGATAATCAGAAATTAACTAAAATTATGTACTTAAAATTATAACATAATCAAACATTATCGAATTATAACAATTGTTAATGCCAAAATATGTATTTGCAAAATGCAGAATCCGATCCTCGCCAATATTTAAACGAACCAAAATTAATTATCCTAATTTGTATATCGGCCTTTCGGTAATTTATACAATTTGGTATCGCGTGACGCAATCGCGAGGAGGGGCGGCTGCACGCGCGGTCCTGGGGGCTTCGCGGTGTGCCGCAACCCCCGCAGATACAACCCCCGTAACGGTTGATTTCCACTTCCAGATTCTACGGAAAACCCACACCCTCGACACCATACATTTAATATCTCAATCTGGACGTTCGGAATAAATCTTTCTTTATTAGACATCTCGCAGTGATTAAAGATTGCCGCCATTTATAATGAATGCTCTTCCAGACATTCCCAGACGTTCCTTTTCAGAACTAATGCCGTGTAATTTACTTTGAACAAATACAATTCAATTATATTCTTTTTATTTTGTGGATATTAAATAAAAAGAATTTATATAATATTTTGTTACGCTTTAAAGGTAAATTAAAATTATGATTTGTTTCTTCTTCGGTGAGAATATAAATCTTTGTATATTGTTTAATGGCAACTGACAAATTTTTATTACAGTGTAAAACATATTTAATCTACACCGTTATGTAAAAAAAACTCTTCAAAAGTATATACGAAAACACGTTAGAGAATTCTACATTAATATAGAAATAATTTAATCGTTCATTTAACCCTTTGCAGTCGAGTGGATATATCCGCCGTGCCCTTAACATAAGAGAATTCGCTTATGCAAAATTGCTTTAAAAATCGTAAATGAATTTGACTTAAAACTTATGTTCAAAGTAAGTCGAGAAGTTACTGTATACAATTTGTATAAAAATTCGCTTCTCAAATATTGAAAACTTATATATTTTTGAAGAGTTTGTAGTATTTTATTCAAATAATGATAATACTTACATAATACTTCATCTTCGAAGCTACGTGCGTAACCTAAAAGGGATAGAAAGAATAACAATTTTCATGTACAAATCGAAAATGTTACATAAAAATCAATAATTTATATAAAATTAAAAAAAAATAAAATAATAAATTATAATTGATTTTATAAAGAAATATTTCAGTATATTTGGTAATACAAAATATATCATGGAAAGTACTAAATGTGTATTTTTGTAAAAACAATACCAATTATTATAAAAACTATATTAAAAATAGGCATCAACAAAAAATGCGTCTGTCCCGGTTTTAAAATAAAGTTTAATTAAACGTGAATTAATTAGTTTACAATGGAAAATGTGTGAATGAAAACCAAGCAGGACCCACAACTGGTACAAAGAACTTTCAGTTACGTGTATCTCTCGCTTCCCCTCAACCCGTTTCCATGTAAAAGTCCGTATGTGTCTACATTTAATTAAGTAATTAATTAATCTCTAATTAAAATTAGGATATTAATTTGAATAAACAAATATATGTTGCGGATATTTTTATTTTTATTCTCATTTTATGTGTTTCCCTTTCCTCTTTCCGTTTCGTCACGATTTGAAAATCATGTGTTGCGAGATTTCGCTAGGGGTGCGCATACGATGAAGGGTGTATACTCGTTTCTCTTTTTTTTGTGTTGTTTCCACGCAGGATGAAAAATTCAGCCGCTTTTAGTTAGAGGAACACGAAATGAGTGTTGCGTAATGCATAGCAAGTAGTTAGCTGAAGGGTTAGATGAGATACCCGTCTGGAATTATAAACTGGCCAACCCTATGCTACATATTGGTTGGCGGAGGCGGTTGTGAGCGTGCGTATGTGTGTGATTCAGATTTTCGCTGCTTTTATTATCGCCGTTATTATTATATAAAGCCTCACCCTCGAGAATTTGTCTTTCAGTTATGAAATACCCTTTCATTGTGAAATAATACTTATTAAACAATACTTGCCAAGTAACATGTAACAGTTTTTAGACAATTAGCGCCTCGCTTAAAACTATGATTAGATGACTGCGCCCACAGGCTATTTTGCATAATCGAAATCTACTGTAATGTAAAGGCTAACTTTTATTACTTTTATATCTTATAAAGAAACAATCTTACTAAAATTATTTAATTCTTCTTTGAATGACACCCAATTGTTTCTATATAACAGTAATAACTAATGTTAGGACTTCTACTGACTAAGCTAAGCAAGCAAGTACTGGCTGAACAAACAAATATAATATATATTACTTGTCAAGTATTGCATAATGAATATGTGATGGCAAGCAAAGCTCTCTGTATATTTCATCCAAAATATATTATTTATCATTTGCAGCTTTTGTGGTGAGTGCTTCTTTATGTTCAATGCCCATCAATTGTTTCAGTTACGAACTGTGACTTTGGTGGCTCAGGCATTACAGATACACTGAAAATCAATAATATATTTGTTTGTTTTTCAAAGTAAATTTATAATGCTTTCAATTGAATGTATACTTTTTGAAATCTAAAATATTGTTTAATTAAAATTGATTAAATTCATAAATATTGTTGAAAATATTTGGAAATACTTGAAATAGTAATAATAATATATAATACTTATACTGCATTTAGAAATAATATAATTGTGAAATAAATATGAAATTGAAATGCATTTATTGATAGTTTAAATTTTATGAGATTCTATAAATCGATCTCTTTAATAATAAATAACACACAAATCGTTTATAAATATTTAATTTCACTGTAATCTGTTTCCGTTGGTGCATTGTTTTATTAATCTGTGTAAATTGTTAATAAAACCAATAAAATATATTTATAGCAATTAATAACGAAATAATAAATGACTCCATAAAATCACCAAAAAGTCAACTAATAGAATAATAATTTACTTTTGGAAAATTTGTAAAATATTATTACATCCATTAAATAAATAACAAACACTCAATTAATTTAATGAAAATTTAACATATTTTGTTAATTATTAATAAAAACTACAATTTATTACATATTATTTACAATTTAAATATATATATACAACTGTTTTTTTTTGTAGAAAAATTTTCGATTTTGAGTACAGTGGAACCTCGCTTAACCTCGAGTTTAATCCATTAATCAGTAGTGAAATACGCGTATAGTGAAACACGTTTTCCCATATAAACCAATGTAAATTCCGTTAATCTGTTCCATGCCGAAGAAAAAAAGTATAACTTATTCTCAATTTTTCATGATTTTTTTATATCTATGGTTATTTTTATTCTTTAGCTTTTTATTCGGAGACATGCCAGTGTTATTAAATTTTGCACAAAAAAATTACAAATAACATGGCTGAACACAAGTTTGGAAATTTTGTGATCAAAAACAACACCAAGTTTTTAAAATGATGTAGAAGGCGTGCAGTCCGGGACTTCTCTTCTCATCGTCACTCGTTAAGCGAGTCATTATACGTAAATGATAATTTATTTAAATTAAAATTAGTTTAATTCGCTTAGCGTACAAATTTGTATAAGCATTATGTACGTTAACTGAGCGTGAGTATATATTTGTTTTTTCTTTATAGTAGTTATCATCAATAGGTAATAAATACATGTAACGTTAAAAAAAATAAAAAAGAAATTATTTAATATAAATTTAAAATAATTCAATAAATTTTAATTTCTACGTAATGCAAATTATTTATATGATAACTCATTCATTTCACATTGTGTGTCAAAAAATATAATATGTTATCAAAGTGTATGTATATTATTTATGAAAAAATACTATTTGACTCACACTCAGCTTCTGTGGGAATTTGCCAAAAGTACGTCCGTACGAATGTTGAGTGCGTATGTGCGAATAAAGTAGTATTTACGTAAAAAATATATCGTACATGTATAATAATTTATTTAAATAAAAATGTGTTTGATACGCTTAGCGTACACACATAAATGTATAATTTGTACAAGCAACGTTAACTGAGCGTTGTTTCTCTTTATAGTATTTATTATCAATATGTAAAACATGAAACGTTAAAACAGAACAATTGAAACATGAATCTTGAAGTTGTTACGGAAAACTCGATAAATTGTGTTGCGACTATTAATTCGATGCCGGAATTATTGACATTCAAGTGCGCGACCCGAGGCCGAGGTCGTTCTTCTCGTCATTTTTATTTTTCGATCACATTTGTACAGCACAGTTTTAGTGGTGTTTATGTGTTGACGGGAATCCGATGCGGCCATAAATTTTCATATTGGCATAAATCTACAAAAACACACTATAAATACGAAGGGAAAATGTGTACATGCAAACCCTCACACATCTAAATTGAATATCAGTTGGGTAACACTGCATATATATGTTTGTGCATGTGAGCGAGTGAGAGAGAGATAGGGTACATTCTTTGTTTCTTTATTTTTCGTTCTATTTTTACTCTATTTGTCCTTTTTTTTCTATATTATTGGTCGTTTTGCATTTTCCGGACTCCAGCGACGATATTTATTTTCAACTTCGTTCAATCTGTCGGATAAATTATGCGCCGGAAAATCAGGATGGAAACTTATCGCGATGGACGTCGCAGACGGCCTCCCCCGTCTACCAACAGCTTTTAATTGGACGCGGTTGCGGTTACGGCGGAGGCGCCGAGCAAATAATTTAATTGGATTATATCTGCGACGCGAAAACATTTGCAAATTAAAACCGTACAAAAGAACGCTTCTTCGTAGGGACGAGCGGTCTTGTCAATTGGGAGGACGGGGTGGGAGCAGAAGGGCGAGCGTCGCACGACCACGTGGTCTTCCCGAGGGACCACGGTCGTCCTCCCTATTATCGGCTTGATGCATTCTCTAATTACCGGGAGATTTATACACAGCCTCCGGCTCTGGGCAACGTTTATGCCGCTTTTTACTTAATAACTATAAAACGGTTGCGGGGGACGGGCACAGCGATATTCCGTAATTTTAATGGCCAGCGTTTTGCTAGGGGAAATAAACTACTACGAGAGATAACTATTTTTGATTTAAAACTGTTTCACATATACCTTTCTTGCTTCTATTTAAATATCAAAGAATTCTGTGAACATGAGTTATTTATCTATAAAAAAAAACATATACTATTTTTACATTCTATATACATTACTATATATCAGGGGTGGGCAGGCAGACTTTTTGCAGCAAGAGCCGCGCCTAAACTTTTTGGTATGATAATTTAAAAAAAATCTCAATCATAATATAAAATATATATAATATTTGTGTTTTGTTGTGGCTCAACAACAATACTATTGAAGAGCTTCATGCGGCTCGCGAGCCACAGTTTGGCAGAGTTATTTTATAAAGAGTCGCGCGGTTTAAACCGGTTTTCAAGAAAAGTTAAGATTTTTTTAAAAGTTGTTTTTTTTTGTATAAACCCTATTAAAAATCTTATACTAGTTTCAAAATTAATTATGTAATATTTTTTCTTTGAGTTTCATTGACTAAGTGTTGAATATTGTTATTATATAAAAGGTATATAAAAGATAAAGATTGTATATAAAAGAAGTTCGTTTGGATTTTGCAATGCTTTGTGCAATGAAAATATTAGTCCGTTTCGTGAGGAGCAAGAGAGGAAGAAATAAAGAATCATTAAGCGAGTGTTTGTTCTTTTGGGAATCCGTGATTTCTCGCTCGAAACACGTCCTAATCAAACGCCCGCCCGCCCCGTATTGCTTTTTTCCCCGAGATATAATAAGAAAATAAAAGGATAACATCGAGGGGATTGCAAAGAAGAAGCAGCGAAAAGGGGGGTTTGCAGGGTCGGGGGGAGTGGAAGGGTGCAGGCGGAGAAAAAAAGAAATCTGGAGAATATAATAAAGGCGCCGCTTGTGTATCGTCGCAATTAGTCGCTGCAAGCAATTAAAAGTTGAAGCATTGTTTGAGCGGACTAATGGCTAATGAGAGTATTTGAGCCGAGATAAAAGCGGAAATATTCTTCTTCGGAAAGTCCTTCCCTCAAGTTGCTCTTATCCCCAATTTCACCGCAAATTTTCCTTATGTTTACAAACCGAATAACAAC